TCCTGGGACATGCAAAGACTATCAAGAAAGTAAAAAGATTATCAGAGACCCCCGACATCTCTGCTGGCTGCTCCGTGTCAGCGGGATCACCGTCGCTGAGCCCAGAATCGTGGGCTCCGTCTTGATTTTACACTCTCAATGACAAGCCAAGCCCCGCTAAAGGTCCTTCTGAGCCACAACACCTTTCTCACTCCACAAACCGCAATGTAAAACATCATTTCCTCGGAGGTCAACCTTCTCCCTTTAGCTAAACACCGTCGAAGCCAAACTTACTTAAATGAACTTCTGCACAAGCCCCTTTAACTTTTTTTACAGAATTAAAAACAGATTATAAAACTCTGGTACAAAAAAAAAAAAAAAAAAACTAGCATCAGCCATAAAACAGTAAATAAAAAATTATACGTCTGACAAACCAGCACTGTAGTGATCATGCCAGACACCAGTTCAACAGATCTGTCATAAAATACGTTGAATAATGCAAGCCACAGAGAAGACACCGCATTTGAAAGACGACTGATGAGACATCTATCCATTTCTTTTGGACGCCCTGATAGGCGACGATTTCATAACGTTTTACTTCTTGGCCGCATAAGGACAGAACGAACGGCGTCCCGTCGCTGTCGTGAGTACATCAGGGAACGGCTCGTCTTTAAAACGTTAATTTACATGCTCTTTGAACACGGACTCCATACATGCACATGTACTTGTGAGAATGCTTTCCCTTCCCAAGACTGAAGCGAACAGAGTCACCAGGATACAATCCCTGAACCAGAACTCATTATATATTTTCATAGAAACTTGTTATTATTGGCGCTGCCGACTGATTATTCTGCATTAGGCTGGCAAGTTTCTTAGGGTGATGTGACCCCATTGTTAGTAAGTGTAAACAATTCAGAAGTCAGACAGTCACAAAAATAACCAGCTTTCTTGATGACTGAATCACGTCAGCAGTTCCTTCAGTCTGCGGTGCCTCCTGGTCAAGCTGCGTTGTAATAATTTTAAGCACAACTGGACTCCAGCCTTGCAAGGGTCTGAATTGGCCACTCTGGTTTACTTCCAGTAGAAAGTTACACTGGCATGAAACATTACAGAGTCCATATTGTTCTTAGCACATAATTGAGCACATGTGTGATCGACCCTCTGTGGACTAACTATGTGTTCTTAGGCTTGGGAGGTATTACAGTATATACCATGTATTTTGGGTATATTGCAGTATTTTGGGTATATTACTGGAATAATGTCAAAACACCATCAAAACACAGTATACAGTGGTATACAGTGGCATAATGTCTAGACAGTATGAAAAATACTTAGTACCGCCCAAGCCTACACAGAATGCGGACACGAGGAGACTGAAATTCAAGCCAGATGTGGTTATGGAAAGAGACCAGTGTAAGTGTTATAGGTAGCCCTTGAATAGGCTTGCTGTGTAATAACATTCACAGATGTATTTCGGGAAAATGCAAATCCCGGGTCTGCTGTCTGACACCAAGGTTATAGGTGGCATAGAGAAGCGGAAGACGTCATTCAGCCGGGCCCCTGTACCAAGTGGCACCTCGCGCCCGTCGTCCTTGGCTGCCGCCGTATTAGCATTTTGGCTAACGTGGCGTAATTTTCCGTGTGAGTATTTCATAACAGCTGCTCGAACCTCGAGCCTTCCGATCCCCCTGCACACTTATTCACGCTCATTTCCCATTCATACGCGTTTGCCAGCATTCTTATAAAAGCAGCAAGTGTTCAGCTAATTAAACCACACCGTACCCCCTACTAATAACATCCGAGCAATACAGATGTATATAAATTACAAATCTGACAGGCCTGACACAGACTGTAAGGAGCCCAGAGAAATTGGACAGCACTGAATTTATTTGGCTTTTTTTTTTATTTTATTTAATCACCCTCACTGGAAGATTATGGTAATGTAATTTTTCTTCACTGGGGGCATTGTCACGGATATCTTTATTTGCATAAGGGCTCCAACACAGCCCTCTTTAGCAGTTAATGGTGCCAAGAAATAAAGTTAAAAAAGAGGACACCCTATAATCTACAAACACAATCGGTAATACAAACTGCCCCCCCCTCCCCCCCACACACGGTGGCGACCAGACGCACATTCCCGACGCCTCGACCCACAGATTAATCAGCAAACAGTATCTACATCTTAAATTGACATAACAAATGATTTTTTGTTCATTTATTGAGCAGACAATTTTATCCAAAGGGACATCGAGTTGAAAGGGCAGGATCAGTCAGTCCCACTGATAGAGTTAGGGGTCTTGCTCAAGGGCCCAACTAGGTACCCTAGGATTTGAACCAATGACCCTCTGGTCATGGGAAGAAGGTCCTATCCCAACTGGCCACATAGATTGCCATTAAACACATTTTTGTACTTCTTGTCAAAGTGTCAGATAGAAAATATTAACCTTTCTATCAATTCTATCTAGCTGAGCATAACATGAGTTGCCCTGTTTATTTAAATATACACATATTTGCATATCTTTTAGGTTTACATACAGCTGTAAGTATCTTAGTGCACATTTTAGTTCCCAGTGGCGCAAGTGATGTCTCTTTCCTACAACTTCTGCACGCCTTGAAGCCATACTTCTGCACCAGCTGACACCACACAAGCGAACGGGAAATATTTTTCTGCCGTACACTGAACTGAAATGCCTGTCATGGCTTCTTCTCGGAGACAATAAAGACTTTGAAGGATGTGAGTCTGGATCTGTCATTCAACGCATATGGAGGTATCCCTTAATACACTCAACTCAAAAAGTATGACCATCACTGACTGATCGCACCTTGAACTCTATGGTCATAAAATACAATGGGTTTGGCGGAAAACCAGATGTAAAAAGAAGGGCTTTCTTGTCATGATGGGGATGTCAAGCCAGTACAGTTACTCCTGCTTTGGGGGACATTATTTACTTGACGCCTGTGGATTTGCAGACGTGAAGACTTCCAGTCTAATAAAGTCAATATCAGAGCTGTGCACAGACAAGGCCGGAGTCCGGGACGGTGATGCAGTGCTGTGTCACACTCGGACTCGCAGTAATTCATTTTCATCTCTCCGCTGCCCTTTAACGGCCCACCGGCCAGGACCACAGTGAGATGTGCGTCTCACACACGGAAGGTCCAGACGAAGACAGAGTTGTGGCTTTGAGGAAGCAACGGTACAGCCTGTTAGATCAGGCCGAGTGGTGGGTGTGTCGGGGCCTGAACTATGGCATAGAACCCACCTCCAACCATCACCCTACGGCACCACCGAGAATCCTCAAAAGTAACATCACGCCAAGAAACCCCAAGACACCATCATACACCAACCCAACCATCTTCATGTTTCTTGATCCCCGATCATACAACGGGATGACCTTCCAGGACTTCGGAGTTCCACCACCACACCGTTCTACCACGTGACCAATGTGGGTCGCGTCCATGGAAGCACAGAGACACTCAATACGAGGAGAACAAGCGTCGGCTTCCCAGGTTCTATCCCCCGCTGCCGTAATTACTCTGCAGGTTGCAGTAGCGCTCCGCTTATTTGAATGGGTGTATATTACCCACTTACAGCCAGTAACTAATGCTTCATGGTTTGCGAAGCACTAGTGTCCGGGAGTTTCTTGCCTGGAACGAGCATACGGCTAATCAGCACACGTCCTATCAGTTACTTCCTGCCAGTAGTTAAATCACATTAACAGATGACACATGCGCTTTAGCGCAGTCATCTAATGCATGACTATCGCGGATATTATTATGAGACTTACTTTCGATCGCTTGGAGCCCGGTTTGACTGAGCGCCATTAGTCCATTTGCGCACAGACAATCCGATGAGGACGCGGTCACACGCACAAGCAGTGTCCACTGCATGAATTCAACAATGAACTGTCATGACATCCCATAAACATGTCATTCTTATCAGCAGAGCAAATTAAACATCCAAGTTACACTCATCTTCTCAATTTAAAAGCAAATCAGTATAATTTACGATTGGTCGGCGTTACCAATATCAAAGGCACATGTGGTATGTTTAACCAAATACTTGCAGTATTTGTATACAAGTCCATTTTAAATATGTATAAAAGCCCATTTTAAAAAACAGCCGATATGCGCGAATGGATGTTTCCTTTTCCTTTTTTCCCCCCAAATAAACAAGGAATGAATAAAGATGAATCATGAAGTGGGTGATAGAGGAACAGAAATGAAAAATCTTGCATTGTTCTGTGGCACGATCGACTGAAAATCGCGGTTTACAAACTATTAAGTGTTAAAAGCGAGTCCGGCGCCGCACTTAACGGGAACGGGTTTCCTTTGAAAGGAGCACAAAATGTACATCCTCCATCGTAAATACAGCCTGCTTATGTCACTCCCTGGTATTACAGCACGTATATTTTAATTTGCTCTTACTCTCCTACTGATATAGGCTACATCACGAAAACACGATCCACTGCCATCCGTTACCCTGGAGTCTCGCTTATTATCCAAAGAGATTCAGGGGGAAATAGGGAAATCACAGTTTTACACAACGGCATAGTCAGCAGCAAAGCCTGGGGACACATACTTTTGACACTATTAAGGTGTTCTGATCGTAACAGCGATCAGAAATCTGTCCGTACAGAAAGCAGACTGGGAATGATGATTAGACAAAAGACTATAGAGCAACATGTATAAAATAGGTCAGTACAAATATTAATAATTAAAATATTAATTAATGTGGAGAAAATAAGCCAACTACACCAGTTAACTTACAGAGATCACTTCTACAAAGAAAGTACACATAGCAATTAATATCCTAGGCCCGCATGAAATCAAAAATCGCCGGCAGATAAAATCACAGTTTGGAGTCTAGGCTCTTCCCCACTTCACAGGTAACGCAACAGATTATAAGTGACATTTCTGAAATGTTTCGGCCAGCGCTCGATGCGCTTCCCATCATAAAATGTCCAGACAGGGATAAAAAAGAATAAGCGAATTACAATTAAACAAACATTTCGCCTACTTACAAGCATATGTCATTTCGAAGCTATCGGAGATGTTGACCATATCCACGTGAGGTACCAGCTTGGGTATATCCTGGTGGTGCAAGAGCGCAAAACGAAAAACCTCATATTCGTGTGAGCCGCTGGGAAAAAATCCCCCTGTGTGAGAAAACAAAAAATCCACCATTACACATACAAACACGACTACACACGCCACAAAGAAACAGCCATTAAGCAGCACTAACAAACGCAGGGATCCATCAAGCGTCCAAATCATTCCAACTTCCATACACGTGCGATTCAATACCACACTTCAGAATTAACGCACTTCCAGCATCTCGTCTTCGCAATATACATTATACTCACCTATATTTATATTACTTGGAAAACTTGAACCGAGACACACCCCAAGAAAACTGATGCAGAGTACGGCAAAGCTTTGCTGCATGATTCCTCTACCATCAGCAAAGAAAAAATGAGCCGAATTGCAATCATAGATCTGCTGGTGGATGCGATGGCCCGGCTGACAGCGTCCCCCGAACAGCAAGGCGAAGCGGAGCGCTGCTTCCTCTCCCTCACAGCATCTATCTTTAGCTGTTAAAGAGCCGTGACTGCGAGCCCTACCTACACTCCCCAGAGAGGCGAGCAGACAACGAGGGACCTGGGAAATCTGCTATTACTATCGTGTCGCCGACACAGATTGAAGCGTGGTCTTTCTATCAAGAAACTGCTGGAAGTCAGCAGACTTTGCGGGAGGTGGTTGCGGGTGGATACGCCACGCACCGTAAAATAAGACTTAAGTCGGTCTGTTCGATGCTCGAAACTTTTCCACTGGACAAAAAATAAAATAAAAAATCAAGTCAAAGTGCATACGTCGAAATTGCAAATATAGATGAAAATGCAAAAGTACAAATTTCAGTACTAATCCTAGAAAGTAACTTGCTTCAGCGTAGACGATCAGTATAGAAAATTAACAAATCTGTTAAAATCTGTTGTAACAGTTATATAAATATTATTCATTCTAATCTTTCTGTTACTTTTTTCCATTTTTAAATATCTTTATGCATCTCATCACTCGTAAGAGATTATCCTTTCAGCCCGTGTTTTTCTTTAAGTTCCTTTCGTGTCCTGAATAAACGACGGCGCTGCGTCTAAGGAGATCACAGGGACTGAGTGACTGGGAATGAAGCATGTATACTTTATACGGACGGAGACCGAATCAGAGGCAGCGCCTTAATATAGCACACTGACGAATCCTTTCCGTTACAAGGGGAGGATTTGCCTGATGTGAATGAAATCCCCAACTGAAGGCTCCGGTTTCCCCTCTATCAGTCTGTTTCATGTTGTTTGAGGAGCGCTGCCTTTGAATTTCTGGCACTAATAAAAATGCAGATGCTGGTGTGATTGCGGTGGAGACCTACTGTGGGCTAGTTAAGTTTGCGCGAGACGCTACGGACACCAAACTAATGGCTACATTCGCTATAAAGATTTTATAGAACTAGTAACTCAGACTGCCGTCTTATTTATATTTAAACCACCAAAAAAAATCATGTCATTGCATGTGTATGTGTCCATTCAACCTTCAACCGCGTATGTATCGTTATACACACACACACACACACACACATACATACATATGTGCAATATGCAGGTGTTTGGGTTTGTGATATACATTTGTGTGCATATATATGTACACAAACTTGCAAATGGCATAGCACTGACGGAAAACGTATGTTTTGTGCATCAGCGAGTCTGAGATATATCTTTTAAGCAAAGAGCATTTTCTCATACAGACGCCGGTTCTCACACATCATGCATAAGACCCGGCACTTGGCATCTTCTGCCTAAATGCTTTGGTGCCCCTCAGCAGTCGTAACTCTCGGCCGCAGCCCGGTTCTGTAAATATCACCGGGTCTTGTCTGTGTGTTAATTTGCATGATTCCTTCACTTATCCCACAGCCTTTTATCTGTGCATTTACATATCCATGAAGGCCAGCTTGCAATAGGACCAGTCTCCTTTTCATGCCAGCTATAACGTGCAAGTCCCATTGTGTGACTAACACACACGCCAAGGGAGAGGTCGAGGTGCATCCCCCCCCTCCCCCCTCAAAACTGTGAGCTTGTTAAACTGTTTGAATGGGGAGGGAGAACTGAAGCACCCTCTCAATATCCACATGGATCCAACCGGCATGGTCTACTATATATATATAAAAATATATGCCCCTTGACATTTTAATACTTTCAGCTAGTTTTCAGAGTTCTAGAGGCACCGAAAGAGTTTGTCAATTAATTACTGGCTTCCACAAACAAATCCCATAGAAAGAGCCAGAGAATGGGGGCCTGAACCGCCCCCAAAATGTATTATTCGGTTATACGTGTCACACCGAAATATAGCATTTACGTTTTATGCGTCTTCACGACAAAGGAAAACGACCATATATCACTCACCTGTAACATGATTTTGTATACAAGACGGTGAAATGAAACACGACGAAACTCGAACAGACATTGATGCACCTCATAAACACTCAGGGCCGCCTGAATGCCCTCGGTCCTGAGGATGTAGATGATATGGTTCATGGGTGGCAGCCCCCTTTAGAGCACAGATGCTGTTCCAATTAAAGATAATTAGGAGCTTTGGAGGATACATTACAGAATAGAGGGTCGTCCGGACGACACGCTAAGTGTCTTTTTGTTTGTTAATATAATTGACAGAATTTTAGCCTATTTATCCTGGTACTAGATGCTTAAGAGGGGGGGGGGGTGCTGTGGCCTTAAACCACCAGGTTCTGCCTGTCTTGCACGGCCTTCCGGTGTTTTAGGGCCACTTCGCCCCCCCATCCAGAAACACGCGGACAGGCGAAATGGCATCCCTAATCAGCGTGTGACTGCATGTGTGTCCCCTGTGATGTTCAGGCGCGGGTCACAGGACGCGCCTCGTCCTCACAGAGGAGACGGACAGACAGGAGGCCTTTCTGCCAGCGCTCCGTCAGATCGAGGGGCAGACAGCCTGTACAGCAAATGTGTATCGCGAGGTCTCTCCCAATCTCACAGCTCCTCCTCCTCTTATTCCGCAGTTGTTATCTTCTGCACAGTCTGTTCCCCCTCGCTTCATAACCATCTCCCTTTCCTACTACATCCTGCAGCCCCCCCCCAGCCGTAATTCCTTTACAGCACCAATTTCTCATAATAAACAGAGGTACCACGCAGCCTTTACTCCCGTGTCTGATTCTCTTCCTTTCTTTGCATATTTTTTGCGAGACACACAGACTCTTATCTTGAGAAATAGCAGCCTAGCATCCAACATTCAAAAATATATTCTCTATCCATTCCAAGCCTCATAAACTCCTAAAAACCCTTTTCATTACTCTTGTAAAAATTTCATTACCACACCCTGTCCTCTGCCCTTTGCTGCGATGGCTCCAAGCTCAGTTACCCCGTCCCGATAAGCAGATGATATATGGATGCACACATCCTTGTAACGGTACTGACCCCCCCAAAGTGAGGACACTTCACTTTAACATCCTTCCTCGGTTAATAATCAAAATGCATCCAAAATGTAATACGATAAACTATATTCCGTGCACATTGACCGGGGTCGCCTGACCAAGACTGGACACCCTGTAGTAAATCCCTCCTTCTCTGCGTACGGATTCAAACCTTCTATCTGACAAAACATGTGTCGACTCCATCAGTGAACAGGGGGAATACTGCTATGCTATTCACTAAACACTTCACTCCAGTATATATATATATATATATATATATATATATCTGGAATTCATAGAAATGATTTGCTTAGTCAGGGCGACTTGCATAGGCCGTGTAAAATGAATAATCACCATTCAGTGCCATTCTTCAAAAGTATCTCTAATATTAAAAATATAATCATAGCATTAAGGTCCTTGTAATACACATACATTACAATTGTAACAAAGCATCTCCCAGAATGCATCTTGCCCTGTGGAAGCCGAGAAACGGTTCACTGCAACAGTACAAAGCACATTTCGATTTTTCATAAATGATTTGTCCTGCGGTGAGTGTAATATAACTGTGGGACATATGCAATGTGTCTTAATTCTGTGTCCGAGGAACCGGATCAACCCCCCCTGCGCGTCGACAGCTTATTCTGATCCGGACTGCATCGTGTGGCACCAGAGAGTCGAAATTGCACGGCATCAGAAGAAAGCAAGCTCCATGCTGGGGAGTTAACCTCTGAGGCGGTGGGTGGGGGGGGGGGATAGGTTACGTAACCCCCCCCCTTTGAAACGCTTTCAGCACAGCAGACTAAATGCCTTTATCAGAAAGCCTTTGCTGCGATACCGGTCAGCCGACGAGGGCTGGCTTTAATACCCGTGTCATTTATCGCATGCGATTTGCAGAACCGTTTGCCCAGGTAATGCGAGGCTGCAGTGCATCCCAGACAGCACTGGACACGAGGCAGGGGACACCCTGGGCGGGATGTAAAACCACTGCAGGGCAAACCAGTTACTCAGGCACTCGCACATAATGGGCATCTTCAGACACCAATTCAGCTAAATCGTCTATCTTCTGACTGCGGGTGAAAAATGTGGAAAGCCAAAAAACAGTATGAGGAGAGCATCCAAGATCCACACACACACACACACACACACACACACACACACACAGGTTTGTAATTATATCTTTGTGGGGACTCTCCATTCATATCCCAACATGACGCCCGTAACTCCTACCCAGCCCTACCCTTAACCATAAGTAACCAAACGATATATGAAACTTTTGCCATTATTGCTTTTTTGATTGCATTCACAGACCATTGTGGGAACCTGAAAAATGGTCCCCACAATGTAATATAAACTTAATCCACAGATATACACACACAAACAGCCATGGGTGGGAATCAAACCCACAACCCAGTAGGTGGGTCATGACAGCACCACCGACTGAGATTTCCAATTGTTGATTCCCAATATATCAGAAGTTCTTCTAAATACTTGGACGTGCAAGAACATGCAAGCTGCACACAGAGCGGAGGCGGGATTCGAACCCCAATCATAGTGGTGCGAGGCTATAGTGCTACCATGCTACACATATTGCAAAATACTTCTAAATACTACAGGAATGCCATGCTAAGGAATACGGTAGTAATAAAGCCTGAAAAAATAAAAGATATAAAGTAAAATAAAAGAAATAAGTAGTTTAAGTTCGATTCTTATCCCAAAGCCACGCACACTGAAATCTTGAACCAATCCTAAAATCAGCAAACATTTGCAGCAGGTTGCAGCACTTCCTCAAAAAACTGGCAATTATGGGCAATAATTTGAGATGCAGGACAACCCAGCATTGTTGCCCCCCCCCCCTCACCCCCCGTGTTTTTCCTGGGACTGGAGCATCAGGAGAAGCTTAACGCTCAGAAACCCTGTGCCTTAAAAATCCGAAATCAAGCATCACCTGCGAATCGGTTTGGGGGGTCTGTGTTATTAAAACAGCAGCAGAGGGGGGGTATCCCCTAAAAAGACAGAAAACACTCTGGGTAAACAGAAGATAACAAGGCAGACTGTTCCCTGTGCTTTTAATTCTCCTGCCACAATTGTCACATAACATTTGATTTACTCCTAAATAAAACAAGCACGAGTTTGTCTGGTAAAATTATAGATACACAAGGATATTTCACAGAAGTAGGGATGACAGGATATGGGACAGCACCGTCAGATGGCTCCCTGCGAATACCGGCTGTGTCAGCCTGTGTGACAGGGAAGGGTGGAGGGCGTCCCGTTACCGCACGCCTTGAAGTGTGCCACAACATTTGTTAAAGTCTCACCCGATTAATAACATCAAACGGAGGCTGGGCGGTTGCATCAAACCGTCTATTTTAAGCTGTGATGCCCCACTGTCTGTACACTTACCACTAACACTGTACGGTGACATGGTCTATCGGCCCCCCCCCCCCATGAGGAAAACAGGACCTCCGCAATCGGGGAGGTGCAGTGGCGGTCGAAATCTATGTGGCGCTGTAAAAAAGCTTCACCCCAACTGCTGCAAACCACCCAAACTTACTGTGTCGTGCCTACATGTCAGCCTAGCTGATGAAAAAAGGAGAAAAAGCATACCCTTATGGGAGAGGGGGGTGGGGGCGACGGTTAAAGTGGGCCTGGAACGTACTGCCCGGGCTGTTCGCCCATCCTGTCCTCGCCAGGAGCTGCCACTGGGGGGGCGAACAGAAGAGGATGATG